GTTTGACATCCAAATTTTGAAATTTCATATAACTTTTGGATAAGTTAAGTAAATTCGACATTTCAAGCAGGTGGCAACCCACTTCAAAATATTTTCAAACTGCTACTTGCTGGGCCCCCTGTCGTTTGGCACCCATATGTTGAAACATTTAATTTCCTTAATTCTGATTTAATTTGATTTTTTAAACAGGTAGCAACCCTCCTAAAATTAAGTTAAGAAAGAAACATTTTCAAATCCATTTCCATTGATACCCATTTTGTAATATTTATTTTTTTAGATAATTTGAATATAATCGCTTAAAAGGTGGCAACTTTTTTCAAAAAAGTAAAACCTTATTGCATATCAGCAGTCCAAGCCTTTTAATTTGACACCTCATTTACAGGTGGCAACTCTGTTCGAAAAAATTAAAACCAGTTTGCCCCTCTACAGGCCAAGCGCTTTAATTTGACACGAACGGTGCAGATCTTTTATCCTGATAGATGAGTGGCAAACAATATAGCTTTGAAATGGGGGTGCTATAGATATGTCCAATACTGTATATGTTGAACGATTTCGATAAATAACACCATAAAAAAGCATGGCGATAATAGTATCGATAAATATTCCGATAAACCGACAAGTCTCGAGATTTCTAAGCATGCTCGCATTCTTTTTGTAGCAATTTTATTTTGAAAATTTCTAATTCTTTTTCATGAAAGACATCGTTGAAATACTAAGTAAAATGGATATGTTTAGATTAACTAGAAAACTTTGTACATACTCCGGAGATCGAGTATGAATAAATAGTGGTAACAACGGTCGACTAGACGAGCTACATACTATATAGGCTTATAAGAAAATCAATTTAAGCAGAATGAATAATAAATAACAACAAATATTACCAACACCGATAGATATATATTCTACTATGTATGTATGTATGTATGTATATACACAAACACTTACATCCTTATATGTATGTATATATACTACATAGAATAGACAAATAGATACATAATTGTTATAACAACAACAAAAACAACAACAACAACGTGAATGATATGAAATGATAAAATCATTAAGTGGAGCTGTGATATTTCAAATTAAACGGTAAAACGAAAAACGACAACCGAGAATCAATAAATGGTAACGATCATTAAAAGAAAAACCGCATTACTCGTAAGATATAGTAAATGATACGAGAACATCTTTATGAAAAATTGCTCAGAGCTAAATCCGATAAACCGTCTTAGAGGTGTTGAATAATCGCAATACAAACTATTGTATATGTATGTACACTTAGGTCTTTTTTTATACGGTACAGTTTTATACATAAAAAAGTTCTTTACTTTCATACAAAAACAGGGGGAATGCGTTCCAGCATTTTCAAAAACCGCATAAATTCAGATTCTCCATGTAAAAAATTCTAAAAAAAAAACAAATAAAAGTAATAAAAACTCTCAAAAAAGCAAAATCGCTACAGCGAAAAAATAGTTTGAAAAACCGCATAAATTCAAATCCGCATAAAAAAACGCATAAAAAGAGACCTAAGTGTACTTAAAAAATCGCAAGGATTAAGTGGCTAGAAAAAATAAGTGTTTACAGCATATGCAATTCTTAATTAGAAGACGAAAAAAAAAAACAACAGCAAACATAATTATGTAAATTAAGCAAACATTACTTATTATTTACATACACACTATGTATGTAGTTAATAAGATGCCAAGGGAAAATATAGAAACTTACAAATTGCAGTAAGAAAAATTAGAAAAATGAAAATTTCTTTTTCTTAAAATTATATTTTCGACTGCTTGAAATTAATATAAAAATACACAACTGAAACCAGTTCACAAAATAAAAATTTTAAATTAAATATGGTTGCGCGCAAAACTTAGCGGCTGCTAGCGTCTAGAGCTTAAGAATTCCGAAATTTAATTTAATAAAGATATTAGGGGTTAAAATATCAAAATCTTAGTTTTGTATGTGACACTCCTTCATATTATTCTATGAATAAAATAAAAACGATCAGGAAAATTTTTAAATTTTTAAATAATTTTTAGCGTTTTGAAATTTTTTTTCAACGCAAAAAACTCACACTTGACTTGACCAGCTATAACTCAGCGCATTGATCGAACTTGTGAGTTTAGTCACGAATGAAATTATGCTCCGCAACACAGAAAAATACCATTATGTCAAAAAATTTTCCATAAAGAAAATGAAATAAAAATATGCGTTTTGAGCTCAGGAAGTCCATACTAACTCTCCACTTTTTTGTGTTGTACAACTTAGAAAAAATTAAAAAAAAAATTAAATGTTGCAGTTATTCCCAAACAACAGTCTTTGGAGCTCAATAATATATTAAAATTATTTGGCGATGAGTTTTTATGAATAGTTTTCAATAATTTGTCAAATTATCAGATTAAAAGTTTTTCAAATTCTGGTAGCGACCCCTAAAAACTATTTTTAAAATATTGTAATTTTCGTGGATGCCTTTATTATGTAAAGGGGTGCCACATACACAATTAAGATATAGATATTTTTAAGGACCATCCTAATACTTACATATATTTATTATTTTTTTAATATACATTTAACACATACATATATATGTACCTAAGTACATTCTACTTGGAAGTGTATGGTTGCTGCAGTATTTTACGCGCATTCATATTATCTTAATATTTCAATGTATAATTCTTTTTTTTTGTGATTCCTAAAAAACTGCTCGAAAAAAGTTGAATTTCAAAAAAGGTTTTCATTATTTGAACAAAAGTTTATACCTGAATATGTATGGCATATGTGCTATATGCGCTGTATTATAAATTTCTTGTATATATTGTATTTTCTAATAATTATTAGGAAAGTGTTTTAATTTACATATATAAATTTTGGGAAATAAAAATGTTTTCAGTTCTGGTTTAAAAATATTGTTTCTACTGGGAATAAAAAAAAAACAAAAAAAGGGACGGTTACATTTCCTTCAAAAAATAGGCATGCGGAATTATGAAGTATTTATGGTAGTGGTAATCTGTAGTAATGACATTGGAATGGTAACGGAAATCTTAATGCTAATGGTAATGATAGTGCAAACAGTAATGGCAGAAGTTACGGTAATGGCCTCGGGTGCTTCTATTGTTTTAGATGGACGTACGCTCCGAGGACAAACATCGACTTGGACGCACACGCCTCTGGAATCAGCCTACTTAACGTGTAGCGCTTTGTGGAAAAAGCTTCAGACCCGGTAAATCGAACACAGTACTCACGATACCGTAAATCTTGAAACATATCCGCTGGAGGAGGACCTAAGGGGCTTTTCTTACATTGGCATCAACAAATTCAATACAATTTCTGCCATTTCCAAGTTGAATATGGTGTGGTTCTAGAGGTGAACAAGTAAAAACGAAGTCTGTACCTCCTGTCTTCAAACAAACACTCTCTATGTATAAGACACTTGCTGGTATATGGCGCAGAAGAATGCGCAATCGCAACATCCGATGAAATCGCGTTTGGAATGTTCGACAAAAATATTCTACGAAAGATTTACGGGCCTTTGCGTCCATTGAATGATGAGCTGTGTGAATAAACCTGAAAATTCTTATATATAGGACTTTCGACTCGCTAAATCCGGGTCCGAGGTCCGTTAACCGTCAGGTTCGAAGTCATTTAAGGGTCGGTCAAATAGGAAAAAATATATATATTCAATAAAAATAAAAATTCATATATGTATACAAGTGTTTGTTGTCGCCGAATCCGTTGATTCTTCAAGGTCATCTAGAGGACATGCCAAACTCATCTAAAGGTCAAATTCCGAAGAATTGTATTGAATTTTTAGATTTATTAAACTAATTTTTCCCTACTTAACCGCCGAACCTGACGTGATGGAGGCTAACAGAATTCGCATTCGCATGCAGGGCGTCGAATAACATAGGGATATAGAGGTTTGGTTCAATATGCAGACATTTTTTTTTTTTGTAAACCTTTGTTATCTTTAAATTACAAAAAAAAAAAGAAGTAAAATCCGGCAAGACTTGTAGACTATAGACCTTTTTGAATAGTAAACTTAAGTATTTGCTCCACTGTGTGTCGTACTAATATGAATGCAAACGCGCTAGCACTGAAAGTATTCAAAGCCGATCCTATTGGTGGTATCACAGGGACAGAAACCAGCTGCAGAGGGACCTGGCTTCACTTGACATGACAAACGACAACCGTGCCTTATCGCACTGAGCAATAATCGCTTAGGCGGTTATTAAAAGTGTAACTAATATCCCAAAAGTCATTCAAAGCGAAACCTACTTGCTGCCGCCTAAAGGGTTAAAGTATTTTAATGTTGCCTACTTTCTTCGTCACTGAATTCAAAAGTGTAACAATGAACTGTTATTTCACACCCCACTCACTGAAATCGATATGATTAAAAAACACACACAAAAACAAAGAAAAACGCATAATCGACGGCTATCTATGGTACATACATATTTTCAAAGTCAGCTGAGGCTAGGTGAGCAGCTGTGTATTTATTTTCAAATAAAGTATAGACAAATTTGAATTTTCTGCAAACGGGCTTAATCAAAGGAGTGCTAACTTAACTCTCTTACAATAAACTCAATTAACTCTCTTACAATAAACTTAATTCTTTTAGGTACTATGTATGTATGTGTGTATATAAGCTCTCTTTTCTTACCCAGCGACACACAAAAAAAAGTCGGTTACTCATACGCACCCTGGCGCCGCGAAGACAGCTTATTTTGCCGCACGAATATAAATGTTGACAAAGGTAGTGAAGGGGGGAAAAGAATATTTTTAACAAAACATTGGATACCACATATATGTATGTACATCCATAGGGAGTGTACTCGTATTTGTCATTTTTTTATTCTCATTTCTGCACAAAATTGTGTGAGAAGAGAGAAAACCTTTTCATTGAACTCATCTTATTTGGGTTATGTCACCCCAAATGTGAACGCATCCACAAACAATTGACTGCACAACGACTACTTGGAACACGACGATATGTGTATATCTACTTACAGTAGCAAAATCGCGAGCCAGTGAGATTGGTGAGTTCTTAAGTAACCGGTGAACGATTGAAATTGAAAATCTGTACGTCTCATTTGGCTGTCGTTGAGCGAGCGAAGAAAACGTGAGCAAGCAAGAATTGTTAGAGTTAAACGGAAATTGTTATTGGGCCTAGTGAAGCAGGTAAATTTTTATGCGTAAAATTTAGGAAAAGTTTCCTCTTTAATTTAAACGGAAATAAGTACAAACATAAATAAGCCATAACTTAACGGGGTGTGATACGAAAAAAAACCGTAAGTTGCTTTATTTTTATTTTTGAGTGCCGAACATGAGCAAATATGTAGTTAAATGTGGTTAGTGTTAATATCTATTTATCAATGTTATGTGCACACATACGAGTATGTACATACTAACATTTGCATTCACGGACAATCAACGGAAAGCGCATTCTATTAGACATTAAAAATTTAAACCGACTATACATTCTGCTATCAGCTTAGGGGAAAGTGTTAAATTTTTAAAAACTAAGTGCTTTTTATCAGTTATCAGTTAAAGTATACAAGGACATTCATGTGTGCATGGAGAGGTCAACTAACGAAAATCGGAGGGTTTTTTTTTATCCAAAATCAAAATATAGAATCGCTGCAAAAAGCAAATATGTAGTATAATAAAGAGCGTAAGAAAGATGCCTAAGAGCGCACTAATTCTGATAATATATTTTTGTATGTATAATTTGTTGAGAGATAGCAGGTGAGTGCAATGTTGGATACAACAGATGGCCTTTTAGTACTTTTGTATGCAAGTGTGTGCAGCGATGACTATGTATTATGATTTTGGCAGAATTACTCACGATTTTGCTCATTTCGCGGTGACGTAACAGAAACATGATGTTCTTCTGTTTTGATAATAAACGTTTGTAAAACATGCAATTAAATGTTTTAGTGACGAAAGCGCGGAAACATTGCTTTTATGGTTCAGTTCTCTTACTTATAGCGGACATTTTGTAAACAAAATTTTCTTTTTTCAAAATTTCTTTAAAGGTTTTTTTTCTACCTACTTATGTACATATGTATGTATGTACTTATAATATGAATTTATATATATATATGTATATAACTACATATGTACAATAACGCATGTGGGCAAGCCTCTGTTGTGATAAAAAATCATGCGGTATAGGCGAAATTACTCTGACTAATGCGCTACATGCCCTGTAGGAATCGGTATGTGAGAAAGTGAAAGTGGTTTTTCAATGACGACAAACTACTTTTTGTATTTCGATTGAAAAACAATATAAGACTCTACTAGCATCTTATGAGAGGATAAGCAATTGGTATGGGAAAATAGTACCCTTATAATCTCACCCGCGGAGGATATCCGCGCAAGTATAAGGTAATCATTATAAATACGGAAAGAAGGAAATGCTTTTACTTCAACCTTTTTCTTTAAAGCATAAACTTTTACTTCTACGTTAGAGTACATCAGGATATTATTAATTTTTATTAATACGGCTGAATTTTTAATGCTGGGATATGCCTAATCAAATTGTGCTATTTTTCGCGGTATCAGGGCTTTGAGATATTTCAGGTTCAAATACAGAAAATACGAAAAACAATGTCTTGTTGGCGTCTCCAAGCATATATGCATACATTTAAATTTCAAATGCCTCGAAAGACAGAGTTAACCTAAGATACGGTCAGCACCACAATTACATTTAACATTTAACCGAAGGAATATTTTATTAATTATGTTCAAGGACTCTTTTCAAAAGTTTCACTCGCTTCCTTGAGAATAAATGCGAATTGAATATAAAGCAAAAGATTTTTCCATGTAGCACTTTTTTCGTAATCATTAGTTCCTTAAAAGAAGTTTTGGCCAACAAACCCACATAACCCTAGAGCGGAATTCGTTAATTAAATTTTGTTAGACACACTCCAGCAAACGCCAAACAGTCATATAACCATTTAAAGTATGAACAAATATAGAACTGGCCTTCGCAGAAAAAAATTACTCGCACTTTTATTGAACAAACACAATTAACTAAACAGTTTTAAGTTGCTATACTCTATTATTTCCTACTGGGTCATGCTTTTGTTATCCAGTGCTGCTTGCGAACTATTCTGATTTATATAGGTGTACATAAAAACAGTAATTAGGCGCCAAAATTATAGTTTAACATTATGTACTTACACTTGTAACAAAGCCTATTAGCTGAGAAAGCCCGAATGGAGGAATTTCGGAAGAGTGAATTATGGACAGCTGTGAGAGAGATGTTCACCTTGATGCTTCGTCATTTTCTGATGTACGTATGTATGTATGTACATTAGAGCTGTAAACTGTGAGTTGAAATTGCGCTAATTATGTAAAAATTCGATACTAATAAATTTTTATTTATTTTAAATAGTTGCTGATGAGCTGCTATAGTATTCAATAAATACTGCATGAGAAGAAGAAATAGAACTCTAGTGCGCTATATGCATAGAATTGCTCAACCTTGAATTTTCTTTAATGATCTTTTACGACAATTTTATATCATAAATGAATGGAAACAGCGTACTCGCCATTTACTTCGAATTATATGAATGTTCAGAAGCTATGCAGTCTATACAATACACAACGCTGGGCAGAAAATGCTCTCTGAACTTGGTTACAACGAGGAAAGGAAGAGTGGGATTACCTTTGACCACATACCGAGTACTCTTGAATAGATAGGTCTCATATCAGCTCAGGAATATCAACTGAGGAATGTGAAACTGTAAGGTTTTTTTTTTTGAACGAGAGTAGATCGAAGGCTGTCAAATGAACTTTTTTATGAATTCTGATTGGTCTATTATCCAATTATATTATTGGAAGACAAGAACGGTTTCACCCTATTTCTCGGGTATGGAGACTCGAACTGCGCGCCTTCACACGCTTTTTTTATTTGTATCCAAAGGAAATTTTGTGGTTGTTTGGTTTTTTCGGCAAAATTTCTTTGCAAATATCTTCAGAATATCTCAGGCCTTAACTTTTGTGAACATACCAAAAATCTGAAAGCTGTAGTATATTAATTACACAGGCATACAAAAAAAAAATGTTGTGAAACAGAGTATAGATCCCAATATTTCTAGGTTTCTGGAGTCGTTGAAAACGAATATGACCATAAAAAATTATTTCAATTGCCCATTTTGCTGCCACCACTCTTTTACAACTACCACTATTAATTGAAATTTCATTTTTTATGCAAAGTTGAAATGAGTGTGTATTTCTTTCTGTGTGAACGCTGAAACCGAAAATGACTACAAACAAGTAATTTTTAAGCAAAAAAAGCCGACTTCAGTTCTCATATGAAAATTTAAGATTATCGTTAATTTCTTCACGATCCAATTATCGGATCTAAACACCCTTGATGGTACCTCTCCTACCTTTCCGATGAAAAAAGAATCATCGAAATCGGTTAACGTGGTCCAAAGTTATGCGGTAACATACATAAAAAAATATTCCGACGATATGATAACGTCCTCCTTTTTGTGAAGTCGGTTCAAACTGAATTAGATCCTTACTCCCAAGAATCCATTTACTACACCCTAAAGGGGGAATTAGGGAAATTTCTGGACAAATACCTGAAAAATTTACCTTCGATTTCACAAAAAACAAAAAAACTTGTATGAAGGCGTGCTGAAAACTTAAAAACCTAATTATACACTTCGATTGCCCATACCCGAAATAGGGTGCTGATGTCCTCTCCGGCCATGTGTTTGAAAAAATTAAAAAAAAAACAAGTAATTTTTAGCAAAAACAACCGACTTCAATTATCATATAAATATATATATATATATATATATATATATATATATATATATTTCATGATCTAATGATCGGATCGGATTGCTAGAGCAGCACAAGCAATTTTGCAGTTCTTATTTTTGAAACTGATTTCCGGAATGTGAAAGAAAGTTCTTCTTTTCTACAAATGGAATTTTCACTCTAAGCTAGGAACTTTGTCTTCCAAAAATTATCAACATGATTTCTTCTTTTAGAAATATACCATTGTTAGTCTGCAAAAACAGTGCTGCTGTAGAACAGTGTTATAATAACATATCAGTTTTATTAATTAATTCATTTGAATGAAATAAATTATAAAATACTTTTTTTTGATCTCAATCGCTTTCTCTTGTACAAAATAAATATTTATGTATAACAAATAAAATACGTATATAAAAAAGAAGCAAATTCCGTTAAAACAATTCTGGGGACTTCTTAAAAAAAACAACTTATTGGACTTCGCACTTTTTTCTTGTTTTTTTGGGAGACCATCCTAGTAAAACATGTTTTAAAACTTAAAATTTTTCTTAAAAATATTAAGTACCATTCATCTAAAATCAAAAATTATAGTCACATAAGTTATTTTGACAAAAATTCAGAGTTATGTGATATGTAGCGTTTTTTTTATATAAACAATTCTTATATAGGTTCAAATATCGATATAAGTAGGTCTCGATACTTTTAGCCCGATACTTAGTAGGTATCGATACTTTCTTTCGATGCTACTTCCAAGTACAGGTATCGATACCACTTTAACTTAATAGTTCATTTCCACCAAACCTTAACTGCTGTTTATGCCTATTGGAAAAAGCAGATTACAACTCGAAGGGGGTAATTGCTCATATTATTTAAGTACAAGAAATCGAAAGCAGAAAGTAAGAAATCTACTTTACTGATCTCCCCATGTCAACGTTATTTGCACTTACATACATCTATGTTTGCCTCTTTGGCGACAGGTGTGTCTAAAAATGGCATACCATCAAGATTCTGCATTACTTTCGAAAAAGACAGCACCCTAAAACAGTAGATTCCTATAGAAAACAGATTATTCTATAATTTCATTGGGTACACATTTGGATTTGTATTCGGTACTATTTAAATACACAGGTTGTACCTACGTGAAATATGGGTTACCACGGATTAAAAACTGTACTGTATATTTTTAGTTCTCTTTTCGATACCACTTGTAGAATTTTCCTCTAGTTTAGCTTCTTAAGCAGAATAATTTAAAGGAATTGCTCTGCTAAGTGGCGGAGTATATGTAGAGTATCTACGTTTGAATGAAAATGTGATCAAAAAGATTTAAATATAAATAAATTTAAAATGTATATAAAATGGCTGTGTACATATTCAGTGCATGCATACACTAATTTTTACAT